GATGTTAATCTGGTCGAGCTAGAAGGATCCTGAGCTTACTGTCAAAGCAGTAGTATTATTATTATTTCATTTCTCAGAGAGGCAAACACCCAGGTCTCAGAAAAGTTAGATCATAAAGAATACGGCAGACTTTTGATAACGGGGACAAAGTTGGCCGACTCAACCCTTCGGGCACGCGTGTGAATACACAAAAAGTCAGCATATAATCGTCGTTTACAATCTTTCAGTCAATCAATAGTTGTAGTTGGGAGTAAACTTGTAGATAGCGGTAAGGCTGTAGATAAATACCGTGGCGAACCGCAAGTTGCAAGCAGACCATGGAGAGGGGGGGCAACAACCAAATATAATTATCAAACTAAGTCTGGATTTTGTTCTTCCACCGCTACCGCAATAAGTTTTCAATAAGAGAGGACAGCGCAGTCATTGCTAACCTTGCCGTCCAATGTATGAAGCATGTCCTCCGCCCAACAACAAAACCCCTAGTCCCAACATTCTAGCCTACGGTACCAGTGGTAATGGAGTTTTGTGAGTGGGAAATTAAGATAGGCGGTGAAGGAAAGTTGCAGGAGTAATCGTATAATGGTAAACCACATTCGATTTGGGGTTTTAGTCACTGCAGCATCGACCACGCGGTGCAGAATTACGCTGGAATACTCGAATAGACTTTAATAATTACTATGTGCATTTAAGCCCTTTAATTCCACTGGTTCTTAACTTGTCACAAATGTACGCCCACCTTTTTATTCAAATACATCTTAGTTATTAAATGCTTGTTTGCTTATTTTTTTCTCGATTTACGCGCTCTAAACCGGGGCTATATAGCAGCCGCGATAGACAAACTCAAGCATATTTTACACCTACAAATTTATATCACTGCCCCTCCTATTTCTCCACCCACACAATCCCTAAAAACACCGGTCCCGTGCGACAGAATACTTAAACTACCTTTGCCACCAGATGAATCTCCTACGGCGGATCTATTTTAAGTATTCTGTCGCACGGGACCGGTGTTTTTAGGGATTGTGTGGGTGGAGAAATAAGAGGGGCAGTGAAATAAATTTGTAGGTGTAAAATATGCTTGAGTTCGTCTACAGCGGCTGCTATGTAAACTACCTTAAACTATATTAAACTAACTTTGCCACCAGAGGAATCTCCTACGGCGGATGGGAACCACAGCAGACGCGTCTTCGACCGCGTTCCCACCCGCCCTTACGG